GTTATTCAGAAGAATTTGTTTAAAGATTTTAAACATATTTGCCCCCTGTGACCTTGAATATGGGTGAAGGTCATTTATTTGAACAAACTTTGTAGCCCTTCATCTCAGCTAGCTACTGGCCAAATATCATCACCCTGAGCATTTTGGTTATTCAGAAGAATTGTTTAAAGGTTTTATAATACAATTGACCCCTGTGACCTTGAATATAATTGAAGGTCATTCATTTGAACAAACTTGTTAGCCCTTCACCCAAGCATGCTACTGGCCAAATATCATCTCCCTGGGCATTTTGGTTATTGAGAAGAAGATGTTTAAAGTTTTTGACATATTTGACCCCTGTGACCTTGAAAATAGGTGAAGGTCATTCATTTTAACAAACTTTGTAGCCCTTTATCCAAGTTTGCTTCTGGCCAAATATCGACACCCTAGGCCTTTCGGTTATTAAGAAGAAGTCGTTTAAAGTAAAATATTGACGCCGGACGCCGGACGACAGACGATGGACGACGGACGACGGATGGACGGACGACAGACGCCGCGCCACGGCATAAGCTCACTTGGCACTTCGTGCCAGGTGAGCTAAAAATGGCATACACCAAAATTTAGTAGTTCTGAAGTATCAAAATGCAGGTGTGGGTTTAACAGCATTAAATGATGCTAAAACAGTAAGTGAGTTACTACATCATGTCTGCCACCCACTGTACCAGACTGTTACTACACCCCATTGTACCAGACTGTTACTACACCTCACTGTACCAGACTGTTACTACACCTCGCTGTACCAGACTGTTACCACACCCCATTGTACCAGACTGTTACTACACCCCACTGTACCAGACTGTTACTACACCCCATTGTACCAGACTGTTACTACACCCCACTGTACCAGACTGTTACTACACCCCACTGTACCAGACTGTTACTACACCCCACTGTACCAGACTGTTACTACACCCCACTGTACCAGACTGTTACTACACCCCACTGTACCAGACTGTTACTACACCCCACTGTACCAGACTGTTACTACACCCCACTGTACCAGACTGTTACTACACCCCACTGTACCAGACTGTTACTACACCCCACTGTACCAGACTGTTACTACACCCCACTGTACCAGACTGTTACTACACCCCACTGTACCAGACTGTTACTACACCCCACTGTACCAGACTGTTACTATACCCCACTGTACCAGACTGTTACTACACCCCACTGTACCAGACTGTTACTACACCCCACTGTACCAGACTGTTACTACACCCCACTGTACCAGACTGTTACTACACCCCACTGTACCAGACTGTTACTACACCCCACTGTACCAGACTGTTACTACACCCCACTGTACCAGACTGTTACTACACCCCACTGTACCAGACTGTTACTACACCCCACTGTACCAGACTGTTACTACACCCCACTGTACCAGACTGTTACTACACCCCACTGTACCAGACTGTTACTACACCCCACTGTACCAGACTGTTACTACACCCCACTGTACCAGACTGTTACTACACCCCACTGTACCAGACTGTTACTACACCCCACTGTACCAGACTGTTACTACACCCCACTGTACCAGACTGTTACTACACCCCACTGTACCAGACTGTTACTACACCCCACTGTACCAGACTGTTACTACACCCCACTGTACCAGACTGTTACTACACCCCACTGTACCAGACTGTTACTACACCCCACTGTACCAGACTGTTACTACACCCCACTGTACCAGACTGTTACTACACCCCACTGTACCAGACTGTTACTACACCCCACTGTACCAGACTGTTACTACACCCCACTGTACCAGACTGTTACTACACCCCACTGTACCAGACTGTTACTACACCCCACTGTACCAGACTGTTACTACACCCCACTGTACCAGACTGTTACTACACCCCACTGTACCAGACTGTTACTACACCCCACTGTACCAGACTGTTACTACACCCCACTGTACCAGACTGTTACTACACCCCACTGTACCAGACTGTTACTACACCCCACTGTACCAGACTGTTACTACACCCCACTGTACCAGACTGTTACTACACCCCACTGTACCAGACTGTTACTACACCCCACTGTACCAGACTGTTACTACACCCCACTGTACCAGACTGTTACTACACCCCACTGTACCAGACTGTTACTACACCCCACTGTACCAGACTGTTACTACACCCCACTGTACCAGACTGTTACTACACCCCACTGTACCAGACTGTTACTACACCCCACTGTACCAGACTGTTACTACACCCCACTGTACCAGACTGTTACTACACCCCACTGTACCAGACTGTTACTACACCCCACTGTACCAGACTGTTACTACACCCCACTGTACCAGACTGTTACTACACCCCACTGTACCAGACTGTTACTACACCCCACTGTACCAGACTGTTACTACACCCCACTGTACCAGACTGTTACTACACCCCACTGTACCAGACTGTTACTACACCCCACTGTACCAGACTGTTACTACACCCCACTGTACCAGACTGTTACTACACCCCACTGTACCAGACTGTTACTACACCCCACTGTACCAGACTGTTACTACACCCCACTGTACCAGACTGTTACTACACCCCACTGTACCAGACTGTTACTACACCCCACTGTACCAGACTGTTACTACACCCCACTGTACCAGACTGTTACTACACCCCACTGTACCAGACTGTTACTACACCCCACTGTACCAGACTGTTACTACACCCCACTGTACCAGACTGTTACTACACCCCACTGTACCAGACTGTTACTACACCCCACTGTACCAGACTGTTACTACACCCCACTGTACCAGACTGTTACTACACCCCACTGTACCAGACTGTTACTACACCCCACTGTACCAGACTGTTACTACACCCCACTGTACCAGACTGTTACTACACCCCACTGTACCAGACTGTTACTACACCCCACTGTACCAGACTGTTACTACACCCCACTGTACCAGACTGTTACTACACCCCACTGTACCAGACTGTTACTACACCCCACTGTACCAGACTGTTACTACACCCCACTGTACCAGACTGTTACTACACCCCACTGTACCAGACTGTTACTACACCCCACTGTACCAGACTGTTACTACACCCCACTGTACCAGACTGTTACTACACCCCACTGTACCAGACTGTTACTACACCCCACTGTACCAGACTGTTACTACACCCCACTGTACCAGACTGTTACTACACCCCACTGTACCAGACTGTTACTACACCCCACTGTACCAGACTGTTACTACACCCCACTGTACCAGACTGTTACTACACCCCACTGTACCAGACTGTTACTACACCCCACTGTACCAGACTGTTACTACACCCCACTGTACCAGACTGTTACTACACCCCACTGTACCAGACTGTTACTACACCCCACTGTACCAGACTGTTACTACACCCCACTGTACCAGACTGTTACTACACCCCACTGTACCAGACTGTTACTACACCCCACTGTACCAGACTGTTACTACACCCCACTGTACCAGACTGTTACTACACCCCACTGTACCAGACTGTTACTACACCCCACTGTACCAGACTGTTACTACACCCCACTGTACCAGACTGTTACTACACCCCACTGTACCAGACTGTTACTACACCCCACTGTACCAGACTGTTACTACACCCCACTGTACCAGACTGTTACTACACCCCACTGTACCAGACTGTTACTACACCCCACTGTACCAGACTGTTACTACACCCCACTGTACCAGACTGTTACTACACCCCACTGTACCAGACTGTTACTACACCCCACTGTACCAGACTGTTACTACACCCCACTGTACCAGACTGTTACTACACCCCACTGTACCAGACTGTTACTACACCCCACTGTACCAGACTGTTACTACACCCCACTGTACCAGACTGTTACTACACCCCACTGTACCAGACTGTTACTACACCCCACTGTACCAGACTGTTACTACACCCCACTGTACCAGACTGTTACTACACCCCACTGTACCAGACTGTTACTACACCCCACTGTACCAGACTGTTACTACACCCCACTGTACCAGACTGTTACTACACCCCACTGTACCAGACTGTTACTACACCCCACTGTACCAGACTGTTACTACACCCCACTGTACCAGACTGTTACTACACCCCACTGTACCAGACTGTTACTACACCCCACTGTACCAGACTGTTACTACACCCCACTGTACCAGACTGTTACTACACCCCACTGTACCAGACTGTTACTACACCCCACTGTACCAGACTGTTACTACACCCCACTGTACCAGACTGTTACTACACCCCACTGTACCAGACTGTTACTACACCCCACTGTACCAGACTGTTACTACACCCCACTGTACCAGACTGTTACTACACCCCACTGTACCAGACTGTTACTACACCCCACTGTACCAGACTGTTACTACACCCCACTGTACCAGACTGTTACTACACCCCACTGTACCAGACTGTTACTACACCCCACTGTACCAGACTGTTACTACACCCCACTGTACCAGACTGTTACTACACCCCACTGTACCAGACTGTTACTACACCCCACTGTACCAGACTGTTACTACACCCCACTGTACCAGACTGTTACTACACCCCACTGTACCAGACTGTTACTACACCCCACTGTACCAGACTGTTACTACACCCCACTGTACCAGACTGTTACTACACCCCACTGTACCAGACTGTTACTACACCCCACTGTACCAGACTGTTACTACACCCCACTGTACCAGACTGTTACTACACCCCACTGTACCAGACTGTTACTACACCCCACTGTACCAGACTGTTACTACACCCCACTGTACCAGGCTGTTACTACACCCCACTGTACCAGACTGTTACTACACCCCACTGTACCAGACTGTTACTACACCCCACTGTACCAGGCTGTTACTACATCAAATCTGACACTGTAACTGCCAGCCCATGCTAAGTGTTACATACCTGTGTCCATTTCCTCTGATCCAGGCCAGGCTGTCTCAGACTGGCGTACAAAGGACGGACTACCTGTTTTATCAAAGGTTTGCACCAATTTCTGGAGGATCTGAGCTTCTTCAACTGCAAATTAATCAATTTTATTATCACTCAAATGATATTTACAACATTTCAATGAAAACGTTAAGGTGCCTTATAAGGTGCTCCTGTTTCAATTTCTACTATTCTACATTTCATAAATAAGTGTGCATGTTAACCAGCGAATGTTCAGAGGAGAAGATTGTGTTCTTCCTCTTTCAAAATATCTAGATTCTTTTACACTTTATTCACTGTTTTCAATTATACCTTTTTTTATGAATTCAAAATTTGCCTTTCATCATTCTGGTTTGATCATACACAAATACCTTGAAATGTTGTAAAAACAATTCCACAAACTATTCCATCTAAACAAAGAAACCATCTTTCTGTAGGTCTCTTCTATCATTAAATGTTCCTTACTCTATTGTCAGTTTTTTTTTATTTTACAAATGTTTCATTGACATTTTATACTGTGGTATCAACTATGATGTCATTTATAAAGGTTTTCAGATTCACCCAAAACAAATATTTCACTATATATAACCAGTTTAAGGAGAAGAGGTAAAAAGGGCACTGTAAACTGTCCTTTACTGAAACCTCATCATTACATTGTGATTAGTCCAAACCAAGAGGAGTTACTCCCCTTTATATACCAGAAAACTTCCAATGGACAAAATCTTCTTCCCCTTTATATACCAGAAAACTTCCAATGGACAAAATCTTCTTATATCACCTAAAAAATAGGATGATATTTTTTTTGTCTTCTTTTTCAATCAGACGAAACATTATTCTGAGTTTGGCTTAATAATGTTACTTGAAATTCCAAGAAATATATGAATACTTTATCAGGAATTATACATAAATGCTGGCAAAATCTCCCTGGAGTGAGCTTGCACCAAGCTAGCACAATCTCCAGTCCCTCTCCACTGATAGCCTTAGATGACAAAACAATCTCATATGATGTGTACACAGTGCAAAAAGGTCACTTTATCTTACATAACTAAAGATTAGGTAGTATAACGGGGAGAAGGTGATCAAAGCTTACACCACGAAGCAGGCACAGATTAGGAGGAAATTACCAATCTGTATCATCAGAGGCCTTTCATGGTCGGCTATTGATCCAACAACGACACTAGAAATCCGGCTTGGTGCCATGTTTGTCACATCAATTTTTCAAGACAAACAAAAACCAAGGTGATGAATAAAGCTGTCGTGGAAGGTTTCTCGGGGGTTTTTCCTTGTCAAAGATTGGTGGAGATTTATGTGAGATGAAGTAAGGTGATCGTGACAGTAAATGGTGTCAATAATTACAGTGTTACCACATCTTCCCAAACAAACTGATTTTGTTTCCCGTAAACATCCTCCTCACCGATTCTGTTGTCCAATTTTTATAAAATGTTGACAGTAAATTTATGCTAAAATGTGGAGATCTAGTTATAAACATTAGTAACAGAACAGAAAATTTAGGCAGTCATAAAAATTATTATGAGACTGGTAAATCAATCAACTCTTTTGAAATGTTAACATGGGTACTTTCTGATAGATAATTCAGAACAAGCATAGTAACTTAAAACTAGAAATACCCTATAGATTTATCATATACCTGTTAAGTTAATCTTTGGTCTAACAGAAGGCCTGTTAAATTTATATGTGGTCTAATAGAAGGCCTGTTAGTTTATCTGTATTTTAACAGAAGGCCTGTTAAATTTATATGTGGTCTAATAGAAGGCCTGTTAGTTTATCTGTATTTTGACAGAAGGCCTGTTAAATTTATCTGTGGTCTTATGGAAGGCCTGATACTTGTACCTGTGGTCTAAAAGAAGGCCTGATACTTTTATCTGTGGTCTGTTGAAAGGCCTGTTAAGTGTATCTTTGGTCGAACAGAAGGCCTGTTAAATTTATCTGTGGCCTGATGGAAGGCTACTTAAGTTATCTGTGGTTGATTACTCGGCCTGTTAGTTTATATGTGGTCTGATATGTATATAGTAGACATATAAAGCTAACTGCTGTCAGAAAGAAGACCTGTTAAGTTTATCTGTGGTCAGAAAGGAAGTCTGTTTTGTTTATCTGTGGTCAGAAAGAAGGCCTGTTAAGTTTATCTGTGGTCAGAAAGGAAGCCTGTTACGTTTATCTGTGGTCAGAAAGGAAGCCTGTTACGTTTATCTGTGGTTTAATAGAAGGCCTATTACATTTATCTGTGGTCTAATAGAAGGCCTGTTACATTTATCTGTGGTCTGATAAAAGGCCTGTTACATTTATCTGTGGTCTAATAGAAGGCCCGTTACATTTATCTGTGGTCTAATAAAAGGCCCGTTACATTTATCTGTGGTCTAATAGAAGGACTGTTATATTTATCTGGGGTCTAATAGAAGGCCTGTTACATTTCTCTGTGGTCTGATAAAAGGCCTGTTACATTTATCTGTGGTCTGATAGAAGGCCTGTTACATTTATCTGTGGTCTAACAGAAGGCTTGTTAGTTTATCTGTGGTCTGAAAGAAGGCCTCATTTATAAGTTTATCTGTGATTTTAAAGAAGGCTTATTTAGGCATCTTTGGTTGATATGACGGCCTGTGAGTTTATCTGTGGTATAATAAAAGCCTATCAAGTTTATCTGTTGTCTGACAGAAGGCCTATCAAGTTTATCTGTTGTCTGACAGAAGGCCTATCAAGTTTATCTGTTGTCTGATAGAAGGCCTATCAAGTTTATCTGTTGTCTGACAGAAGGCTGTGTTTGACAGGTCCTCATATATTAACCCACCTATAGATCTCTGTAGGTACGTGCTCAAGGAAACTTCACGGTTGTCATAGTAACTGACGATGCCTTCATCTGTCTGTATTGGTTTGTTCTCTACTTTAACAAAGTGAGAATTGTATCTGAAATAGAGGAATCAAAAGTCACCCTGAGTATCACAAACAAATATCATAATTATCAAATCACCCTGAGTGTAATAAACAAATATCATAACTATCAAACCTTAACCACCCTGAGTGAAATAAACAAATATCATAACTATCAAAAGTGAAGCCCCACAAGATGCTTTGCAATATCCTAGTAAACCCTAAGGATAAAACACCTGAAGAAAACGTCGTAGAATGTGTATACAAAATTGGATGCAAAAACTATGACGCATCGTATATTGGAGAGACTGGAAGGTGATTTTGGGGTCCGCCTTGTTTCAATCTGTTCAAGCGGTAGATAAAGCAAGCCATCTGAATATGCCCTATTGGGCCAGTTCTGGATCAAGATGAGGAGGCTCATAGACTCTCGCAAATCTATGACCAAGTATTAAACAAAGCGTAGCTGAATCGAGTCAGTTCGGTACATATACAACAAACTATTGTACATAAGCTTACAACATAGCCGAATTGACATTGATTTGTGGACAACTATGGATATTTTACACCTTTGTGTACATACGCTTTACTGGTCAGTTGTCTGATGAAGGTGACAACAGTACATACCGTACTGGTCATCAAAACGTCACATAGAAACACTTCTTGGTTGTGTTACATGCATTTTTCACAATCTATACTTACCAACCTGTAGAAAAAGGTTTAGAAATATCACAGCAGTCCCCTCCTGAACATGGCCAGGAGATCTAGATATCACACCAGTCCCCTCCTGAACATGGCCAGGGTTGTTATATTATGTAAGGTATCGTCAGTATTACACGGTGTATAGAGACAAGTCCCTCAGAATACCACAACAAACCATGTTTCACACTTCCTGTATCTCCTGTGTTTATGTGACACTAACTATTGATGCAAGTAAGTGTGAGGAAAATGTATCATCAGTTTATATAGAAATCCATATACAATGTTTACCCAATACACAGTGACTTTACTAAATAATATGATTAATGAAAATCGCAAACTGATTAATATACCTCAGAGAGCCAGCAAATATATTCGTTTCTGAATATGTTCTTATATTCTCCATTTTAAAGACCTCAACAAAATAGCATGAAATGTACTTGGGAAGGTGAGAATCTTCTGACATCTAGCATACTTATTTGATAAAGTTTCATTTTCACACACAGTGCAATGCCCCTACCAATGAAGGAACCATGAATTACATATCCTATCACAAAGTACCTCGAGGTTTGAATACAGGAAATAGTGATATACTTTGTATTCCTACGACATCTAGCTATTACTGACATCATGAACCATTGGCACATGTTTGAACTTAATTGATGCACATCCTGGGCAGAAGTTCACGAGTAAGTTTGTAAATCAGAAATTTAACAAACCATACAATTTATTCCTTACACATAAGTGTATATAGGTTCTTTGTCCAAACTTACTCTGTCAATATTTCACTGAGATTGGTGAAGCCTTGTTCTGCAGCAACATCCCTGGGAAGGTTTCCATGACGATTGGGTATGGAGAGACACTGTTCACTTCCAGGTTTGTCGAGGAGAAAGAGTGTCACTTTGTATAACCCTAATCGTGCTGTGAAATGTAACAATGTTTCCCTCGTCTGGTTATCTGGATTCTCTGAAGCACAAAACATTAAAATACAATTTAAAATTTCATAATTTTATAATTCAATTTTGGATATGAATTTTCATTTGTTTGTTTTTATAAGGTGTTTAGTTATATCTTGGTTTATTCTCCGAATGCTACACTGTATTGGTATTCCATTATTTCTGTTCCTATAACTATACACTATCGAGGAGATAAATCACTGTGTGTGAAAGGAACTAATGAATAAATAAGATTCGGCCTAACTGACCACTATGATGAAAGTTCAACCAGTGACTGACAACGACATCTCTGACAAATTACTCCAATCTGTTTATTTAGAAACCATTTAAGATAATCAAAAGCATTTTAGCTATCACACCAACAATAAAATATGACAATATAATAGGGTGGTGATAACCTTCTGTGCTATATTTAGCCATTAACGGTGATCCTCCTATGAAAGGTCAACATTCCGCTTTCTTATGACCACATAACCCTACTTGTGCAGGTTTATTCCTCGTTATTGCAATACATATTGACACGGACTTATGAACCAGACAGATCTACACAGCCTTATTCCTTTCATATTAGCGTCATCCTTACAGACCAGTTATCGAGATCTTTATGCCAGTGTAAGTCATAACAGGGACAGGAAACAGTAGCTTGTGGTTTAAAGGGTATCGTCCCCAGACATGGGCGACAGTGTGGAACTCGATAAAGGAGGAAAAATGAGTGATCAAACACGAAAACCTACACTAAATGACAGCCGATCCCATTCCATGATTGACAGCATAGAAAACTATGACCTATATATTAGAAACACAAAAACTGACAGCTGACTTGTGTGTTATGTAGTATGTGATTGCTGATCCTCAACTAATGCATTTCAAATTCATATTAAATATATTGCAGTATTATAAACAATGTTGTGTTCATCCGATGCTTGTCAATGGAACCTACATATATATATATACAATATGTTACAGTACTCTAGTATTCCTACTCCTAAAGAAATTATGGTTAAACATTTTTTTTTAATTATTTAATTCATTTATTTTATTTATTTCAATTACGGAATTGATCACGATAAAATAGTAATATAACACGGATAAAGACATATAGTTTACTAAGATAATTATAACTCTGTAGCGTATATATACGTATAATGCATAATCATAGAATACCGACTTTAAGCAAGACGTGAAAGAAAACAATAAACATTCAAAGATACAGTCCAGTTCACAAATGTTTCTGTTAAAATCTCGTATTACATAATGAAAAGTGTTGAACTGATATCAATTTTCCCCATATATACGACAAACCATTTGTTTTTTTATTTTAATGATCAATCCCATCAGGAATGCAGAATGATATTAAAGATTTCTATAATTAAAACATATATTTGTCCATGTGACCTTTCACATTAATGACTTTAAATACCACAAGACAATATAATTGTATCTCAATTAATTCTATAGGGACTATTCAGGTGACGACCCCAGTCTAGTCTAGGTGGAAGATAGGGACTATTCAGGTGACGACCCCAGTCTAGTCTAGGTGGTTATATAGGGACTATTCAGGTGACGACCCCAGTCTAGTCTAGGTGGTTATATAGGGACTATTCAGGTGACGACCCCAGTCTAGTCTAGGTGGTTATATAGGGACTATTCAGGTGACGACCCCAGTCTAGTCTAGGTGGTTATATAGGGACTATTCAGGTGACGACCCCAGTCTAGTCTAGGTGGTTATATAGGGACTATTCAGGTGACGACCCCAGTCTAGTCTAGGTGGTTATATAGGGACTATTCAGGTGACGACCCCAGTCTAGTCTAGGTGGTTATATAGGGACTATTCAGGTGACGACCCCAGTCTAGTCTAGGTGGTTATATAGGGACTATTCAGGTGACGACCCCAGTCTAGTCTAGGTGGTTATATAGGGACTATTCAGGTGACGACCCCAGTCTAGTCTAGGTGGTTATATAGGGACTATTCAGGTGACGACCCCAGTCTAGTCTAGGTGGTTATATAGGGACTATTCAGGTGACGACCCCAGTCTAGTCTAGGTGGTTATATAGGGACTATTCAGGTGACGACCCCAGTCTAGTCTAGGTGGTTATATAGGGACTATTCAGGTGACGACCCCAGTCTAGTCTAGGTGGTTATATAGGGACTATTCAGGTGACGACCCCAGTCTAGTCTAGGTGGTTATATAGGGACTATTCAGGTGACGACCCCAGTCTAGTCTAGGTGGTTATATAGGGACTATTCAGGTGACGACCCCAGTCTAGTCTAGGTGGTTATATAGGGACTATTCAGGTGACGACCCCAGTCTAGTCTAGGTGGTTATATAGGGACTATTCAGGTGACGACCCCAGTCTAGTCTAGGTGGTTATATAGGGACTATTCAGGTGACGACCCCAGTCTAGTCTAGGTGGTTATATAGGGACTATTCAGGTGACGACCCCAGTCTAGTCTAGGTGGTTATATAGGGACTATTCAGGTGACGACCCCAGTCTAGTCTAGGTGGTTATATAGGGACTATTCAGGTGACGACCCCAGTCTAGTCTAGGTGGTTATATAGGGACTATTCAGGTGACGACCCCAGTCTAGTCTAGGTGGTTATATAGGGACTATTCAGGTGACGACCCCAGTCTAGTCTATGTGGTTATATAGGGACTATTCAGGTGACGACCCCAGTCTAGTCTATGTGGTTATATAGGGACTATTCAGGTGACGACCCCAGTCTAGTCTATGTGGTTATATAGGGACTATTCAGGTGACGACCCAAGTCTTGTCTATGTGGTTATATAGGGACTATTCAGGTGACGACCCCAGTCTTGTCTAGGTGGAAGATAGAGACTATTCAGGTGACGACCCCAGTCCAGTCTATGTGGTTATATATAGGGAATATTCAGGTGACGACCCCTGTCTAGTCTAGTTGGAAGACACCTCAGACTTCTGACTCCACATTGGACAACTCCGGGAAATATACACATAGCACACAGTACATAGCACACAGTACAAACCACACAGTACATCAATAGCTGCGGAGTATTCAGTCGCAGACTTACTGTTGTTATAATATTCCATAGTTTACATGCATGTAGCTTCCTGACATTAGTTTGACAAGAAATACAATTTGATGTTCTTAACATTTTAAAATAAAACATACATGTATGACAAATCCATGGAATTTGTATTGCCATACACTAAGACAGCAATTTATGATCAGAATGTACAAATGTACGAAACTGGTACGAAATGTAACATTCCATACAATCAACGTGTTGTTACCATTTTAACATCTATTGACCACATCACAATATAGGACAGTTTGTTCTGTGATTTTTTGGGGTTTTTTTTAACAAAAGGCCTATCAGACCTTTGTTGCCCATCTCTGACTTCTCATTAACCCAAAGAAACCAGATAATAGCAATAACTGGGACATTTTGAAATCACATTTTGAAATAATTTAATGGAATCGAGGCAGAAATTTTAATGGAAAAAGTCTCAGCCAATCAGCAGGATAGGATAACCATTAATTGATATCTAATGTAGAAGTATATTTATATACGAATTCTCCCAAAACTGTAGTAGTATCTTATTTAAGAACTATCACCTAGTGTAAAACTATAATAATAAAGCAACATTCCAAAACTGTCTACGTATATATAGAACTGATGACAGAGTGTAACAGTACACATCTTTTACCGTGGACCAAAATATCTATTCAGACATTTTTCATAAAAGACAGATTATCAGTTCAATTTATAAGTAAATTTAACTACTTGTAGGTGCTATAATAAACATATCATTTTAAAATAGATATGCTGATGATTTAGATCAAATCAAAACAAAAACCTACAGAGAGTTGAATGAAGAAAACCTATATCTAGTCAAACGTAGCTTTGGTAATTTGAATAAAGAAGGAATTTACTTAAATATTCCAGTCTTGATCGAAGAGCTAGACGATATGCCTAGTATTAATATATACAGTCCTTATCTCTATAGCCATCCTTGGCAGTGATATATATACAATATGTAGTTTCAGGTCCATAATTTTTTATGATAAGAGGTAAATATATAGTGCGGAAAGCAAACAAACCAAGTTATAATAAAGACGAAACGTGATGCCTCCCCGAGGAGAGGCCGAGTATTGGCGTGTCTAGACGACATTGAGGAAATATTAGAGAGAATTAGTATGGCATTAGGATGTACACGGTATACTGACCCAGTGGGGAGGTGGAGCCCAGTAAATGCCACCAGTCTGGTATGTCCAGGAAATTTAATGCCTTCTGGAGCCGGTCATCCAAGGTGTCCAGAATTTCATTGGATAGATCAAAGTAGTCTGATCGGATAAGTTCAAGGTCCTCTAACACAGTAACATTATAAACACTCTCCACGAGGAACTGGGCCATAAAGAATGCACTGTCATAGTAATATCGGAACGGACAGCCACCCAAAAGACTGCACTCATTGCCATGGAAACAGAGGATGCTCAACTGAACAGATTCTTCTCGGTGATGTGCTGAAAAAGACAAAGCAGGACTTATTAATTATATCTCAAAAGATACCAGAGGCGTAGGACTATAATTGATGCTAAAACTTTATAACTGTGACACATTATATGTCTTTAAAACCGTAAATGTTTATATCTAATGAAGATAAATGTATTAGGGTATCTAACAGCGAAAAAAGGTCACACCTTAGGGTCACATGTGAACTTTTTAATGAGTAATTTTCAGATTGATGAGCTGTTTCCATATGGCACGCAATTAAAGCCTCACACAGTGACTTGTAAATTCGAGTAAACATTGGAACGTAATTTACATGATACACGTAAAACAAAATAAATAAAAAGACGAAGATATAAGTTAAGAGTACTTGGCTTCAGTGAATTTATTTTGAGAACGCAATTGTAGTGTCATGTAGTGCAAGTTAAATGATGAGGTTATCAAAGTTACAGAGGAATATATATGTGTTTAGTGACTTGTAAATTCGAGTAAACATTGGAACGTAATTAACATGATACACGTAAAATAAAATAAATAAAAAGACGAAGATATAAGTTAAGAGTACTTGGCTTCAGTGAATTTATTTTGAGAACGCAATTGTAGTGTCATGTAGTGCAAGTTAAATGATGAGGTTATCAAAGTTACAGAGGAATATATGTGTATATATATTATAAATATTATTATATTTATAGCTTGAAATAGAACTTATTTATGGTTTAAATTTAAGAACACAGTGATGATGTAAATTGAATTACAAAATCACTCCTATACAAATATTAAGTCCCTATACTCTATATATATATACAATTGTCAGTAACAATCAATCACTTCATACTCAATATTCCACCTGTTCCTTTATCTTAGTAAGTACAATAGATTAGGTCCCTCACAGGACACCTTTTTTTTAATCTGTAAATCCCCAGGGCACCTGCTGACCCTATCACATGCATTAGCTGAACTTCCTGCTATAACTCAATCTTTCCAAGAATACACACTGATTTTCTGTCACCATCAGCATGTCCAATATCATAACACATTCAGCGATCACCTCCTCCACATCTTCATCCTGTTGTATATGTACACATACCTATCACCACCCACTCCAGCTCATCATTATCACCATTACCACATTAAGGTAGATAGTCACTGTAACCTCCGAGTAGTATCTCCAACAAAGGAGAGTTCCAAGTTGTACAACATTTTTTGAATTTGCTTGCTCGTTTACTAAAGTAAAGGGCTGAATACGAGCGAGATAGTTTTTAACATCTTAATCAACTGACCTTATATACCTCCTGTTATATAGGGTATATTATATGTGATCCCTAGCTGGCCTTACCTGCTCCCCTGTTAGAGGCCATATTATATGTGATCCCTAGCTTGCCTTAGTTACCTGCTCCACTGTAAGAGGCCATATTATATGTGATCCCTAGCTGGCCTTACCTGCTCCCCTGTTAGAGGCCATATTATATGTGATCCCTAGCTGGCCTTAGTTACCTGCTCCACTGTAAGAGGCCATATTATATGTGATCCCTAGCTTGCCTTACCGCCTTACCTGCTTCCCTGTTAGAGGTATATCAATTATAACAACACAACCTACACGTGAACCTCTCTATCTAGAAGGTAGTACATAGGTATACACATGCTACTTGACTCTGTCTAGTTGTTGATCCTGACTTGTCATTAGGCAGTAATATACACTGACACCTATATGTAATACATACACACACAAACATTTAGAGTACATGAATAGCTACTCATCAACATTACATCTATTAACCTATATTATCCTATGGAGGGACATCCCCAGAATTGACAGCCCCAGTAATGGGTACAACTACAGAGCTGCAACCTAATTACAATATATACATTGCAGGTAACGGTGCCAACTGGTGGGCTATAACAGTACACCTTTGTCCTCACTCATCCAGTCTGGCAGAAAACGTCATCACGATCATCATCATGTTAGGCTATATAACTAATGAATCTTTTATACTCCAATTCCTTGTTGCTAGAATCACAAGTCTGTCTCCAACACAGAGATGTGGGTCAGGCATGTGTTGGTATGGAAACCTTGGGAGCTTGACTCACATGTCATTTCTGTCTGGACTTGTGCATGTACATGTATTTCTGAAATGTCAAATGACATCTAATGCAACAATAAAACAGCTGTATTTAGATATATTTGCCGTCCCAGACAGATGTCCACGCCAAGCTTTCAAGCAGAATTAAGATATGAAACTAGAGGTAAGATATCACCAGGCAATAAATAATATACTGACGTATCTGACAGGTTTGTTGGCCAGCCCCAGTGTCCTTATCATCTACAGGTTTTACACAATTTTACAGAGTCAGTGTTGTTATCGAAAGAGGATAACAAGCTGTTTTAATAGCAACATCAGTAAGAAATGAAATTGTATTTGGACACAGTTTATTGATGTGTGACACTGTTAGATAGGATGCTGAAAAGTTATATAATTTCTTTTAAAAATTTAAAGGGAGATAACTCCCAACACAGTAACAGGTATGATTGTAAGATAATAGGATTGTGTCGCCATTTCTCAGTAGAATTTCTTCAAATTTTGTAGTTATATTGCTTTGAAGTAAAGAAAAATTTCTGCCACAAAAAAAATATAGGTTGTCAGAATTGTTAGGATTTTAAATGGAAATCTATGTAAAAATTAGTGAATTTTGAAAAAGAAATGAAACACGCAATGTTTTGCAAAATAATGTCAATCAAAATGATACTGACATAGATTAGTATTGCATTAATGTATATCAATTTCAAAAATGCTAAAATTGTGTAAAATTAATTATCTATAAACGATTAAAAATTGACATTTTATAATAAAACCATATACATGTTCACATAGTAATTGCAGGTAAGAGTTATCGTTCTTGAAAAACTTCACATGAGTGAAATAGGTAGCCGGTTTCCTGAAGTACAGAACAACGGACGCATGTGACTCATTAATTAAAAAACAACTGAATTAATGCCTAGATTGCTTTGAAATACTTTAATATTGAAAGAACACAATGTTCTGTCAATAATAAACATACAATATTCATCAGTTTAATATTAAACATTAGAATATGCAGAAATTGTGATACTGTCTCCCTACATTGGATTTTCAACTAGGGATGTATTTCCTACTTCCTTTTAGCAATACACTTCTATGACCTTCACTCATTCACCCCTGAAATTTCATAATGAACTATTCCAACTTTTGAATTGGAAGAGTTCAAATGTGTCTTCGAGGGTAAATGAGTTAAACATTGATGTGATGGGGAAAATCAGGGACTTGAGTCACTATAATATACAGGTCAACAAGTACAACCATAATATATCTATATAGTATGACAAAGGAGTTTCCTTAGGCCAACATCATACACCAGGTGAGGGTCACATACACCAGGTGATGGTCACATCATACACCAGGTGAGGGTCACAACATACACCAGGTGAGGGTCACATCATACACCAGGTGAGGGTCACAACATACACCAGGTGAGGGTCACATCATACACCAGGTGATGGTCACAACATACACCAGGTGAGGGTCACATCATACACCAGGTGATGGTCACAACATACACCAGGTGATGGTCACATCCTACACCAGGTGGGGGTCACATCCTACACCAGGTGATGGTCACATCCTACACCAGGTGAGGGTCACATCATACACCAGGTTAGGGTCACAACATACATGGTCACAACATACACCAGGTGATGGTCACATCCTACACCAGGTGATGGTCACATCCTACACCAGGTGGGGGTCACATCCTACCCCAGGTGATGGTCACATCATACACCAGGTGAGGGTCACATCATACACCAGATGATGGTCACAACATACACCAGGTGATGGTCATAACATACACCAGGGGAGGGTCACAACATACACAAGGTGAGGGTCACAGCATCCACCAGGTGAGGGTCACGACATACACCAGGTGATGGTCACGACATACACCAGGTGAGGGTCATAACATACACCAGGTGAGGGTCACAACATACACCAGGGAATGGTCACATCATACACCAGGTTAGGGTCACAACATACATGGTCACAACATACACCAGGTGATGGTCACATCCTACACCAGGTGATGGTCACATCCTACACCAGGTGATGGTCACATCATACACCAGGTGATGGTCACAACATACACCAGGTGAGGGTCGCAACATACACCAGGTCAGGGTCACAACATACACCAGATGATGGTCACAACATACACCAGGTGAGGGTCACATAATACACCAGGTGATGGTCACAACATACACCAGGTGAGGGTCACATCATATACCAGGTGAGGGTCACAACATATACCAGATGAGGGTCACAACATACACCAGGTGAGGGTCACGACATACACCAGGTGATGGTCACGAGATACACCAGGTGAGGGTCATAACATACACCAGGTGAGGGTCACAACATGCACCAGGTGAGGGTCACAAGGTGATTGTCACATCCTACACCAGGTGGGGGTCACATCCTACCCCAGGTGATGGTCACATCATACACCAGGTGAGGGTCACAACATACACCAGATGAGGGTCACAACATACACCAGGTGAGGGTCACATCATACACCAGATGATGGTCACAACATACACCAGGTGAGGGTCACATCATACATCAGGTTAGGGTCACAACATACACCAGGTGATGGTCACAACATACACCAGGGGAGGGTCACAACATACACAAGGTGAGGGTCACAGCATACACCAGGTGAGGGTCACGACATACACCAGGTGATGGTCACAACATACACCAGGTGATGGTCACAACATAACCAGATTAGGGTCACCTCATACACCAGGTGAGGGTCACAACATACACCAGGTGAGGGTCACAACATACACCAGGTGATGGTCACAACATAACCAGATGAGGGTCACATCATACACCAGGTGAGGGTCACAACATACACCAGGTGATGGTCACACCATACACCAGGTGAGGGTCACAGCATACACCAGGTGAGGGTCACATCATGC